TTATAATTACTTTTTGAAATATATAGTTTCTAAATGAAACCTTATTCGCTATAATTACTGTCACGACCCAACCCCAGGAGCTTAGGATTGAAATTACAACTTACTAATTAATTCTAATCTTAACAAATTAAGTGGCGTAAGCGGAAACAAAATAAAAGTAAGAAAATAATTAGATAGATTATTAACTTCATTAATTACCCTCCTATGGAAATTAAAAAAAAATACATTCATTGGGTTTTTATTATTTTATTATGGGGTGACAAAAAGTTAAGAAAAAGAAAGGGAAAAAAAAGAAGAAGAAAAAAAAAAATACAAATGTAACAGGGCGGCATCTAATTTTCGTGCGGTCCCACTGTACGAGGTTACAGTTCTTCTCTACATCTCATCACCTGAAAAGGGTAACAGCTATAAGTACACAGCAGAGTAAAAAATATTATGCAAAGAATAGAGGGGATACAAAATAACCATGGATAGTTATTTAAGCTAAAACATGAATATAACTTAATTTGAATAACTAATTATTTAAGTGGCAGAAACTGAAATACAAAAATTATGTAAATAAATAACCATAATCACGGTACAGAACAAAACAGAACAGAAGAGGTCAGTAGAGTGACAGTCAGAACAGAGGTCAATGGATATATGACAAACAGAGGGTTAATCAATCAGAAACTAATGGTTTATTTAAGTCCGCCAAGGCTTGGGACTCCCGTGGTGTTACATACAAAAAATAATTATTTACAAAATCATTGTCAAAGAATTACTAAAATTTAAACAAACATATTCATAGGTTTCAATATAAGCATTTGGAATTCAGAAATAATTAATATACTTGAAATCTAAATATAAATTATAAAACTTAACTTGTATAAAATAATTTATGGTAATTCAAAATATGCGTAAAATATATTATAGTAATTCAAGGTATAATATAACACATCTCTATATTAATTCTTACTATTTCTTTTCTATTTTTACCAACTTTTCGAGACTATTCTCTTACTTTTCTCTCTCTTTTTTTTTTTTTCCTTTCATTCCCTTACTGAATTTCACAGCCCCCTTAGCCTCCGTTTGGGAAGTGGGTTGGCTTTTTGACTTTTTATTATTATTTTAGCCTGGGTTAAAAAGCTTAGTTTGGGAAAGACTTTTTGACTTTTTAACTTTTTTGACTTTTTTTGTAAAAGAAAAATATAATAATTATACGTTGGATGTGATATTTTATTTATTATGATTAAAATAACATATTTTATTATTTATGACTATTTTAATCTCAAAATTACTTGACAAACACACTTATAACTCACCTCTGCATTATTTTATTTTTCTTTTCTTCTCTACCCTGTAATGATGTCTCAAAATTGATTCTACCCTGTAATGATGTCTCAATTATGATGTCCCAATTGATGACTCAAACCCACCCACCCAAAAAACAACAATGATAGAGACCACTAATTTTGGAACTCTAAAAAGATCACTAATAACATGGCACTCAATAAAAAAAGAAAAAAAATACAACATCAAGGCCAAAACATCAAATCATTCCTGGTGAGGCCCACTGCCACATCATTAATGATAGCACTAATTAGTGCTCTCACTCATGAGGTGATGTGACTTAAATAAGGTGATGTGACTTAAATAGGATAGTGACTTTTTGACTTTTTGTCTTTTTTCAATCATGCCAAACTTGGCCTTAATTACTGTTTAACTTGGCCTTCAAGTAAATCTATTTATCATATTTTTAATAATTTAATGCTAAATTAATTTATATTTTTAACACGTATAGCTATGCAATTAGATGTATTATTTCATATATTTATTTTATTATTATCATTATTATTTATTTATTTATTTTTATAGTAACATAATATTAATTAAATATTTGGTGCGTCACAATTACATCTCTATTTTTTTGGGTAAATATTTTTATTAAAAATTAAAACATCACTAAAGGATTGTTTAGGGTGTCCTAAATAAGTGCATTTTTTATCTTTTTAGACTATAAAGTTGAGGTTAAAAATATGAATATTTAGGTTAACTTTTTGATTTTTTATGAAAAAATATGTATTAAAAAATTGTATATTAATGTGTATGAAAAAATTAATATTGAGAATTGTGCACCCGTAATTATTGACTTTTAATAAATAGTGATAATTTTTTAACTTTTTAAATAATTTTTTAACTTTTTAATTTTTTTAAGCCTTCTAAACTTGGCCTATATAAGCATATCCAAATCACTCCTACGTAGACGTGGACCAGTATTCCTCGTTCTTTCTCACACTACTTAGTCTATGTTGGCGGCTTGACATATTCTAACAAAAATTATTAGAATAATAATACTAACAAAATAAATGAACAGATAGGTTTCTAAATTTTTTGTTTGAAGTGAACTAAATACATAACTTAAAATGTTCGGGTGCATCTACTAAAATATGTGAATTGTCTAAACTTGGCTAAGGCTGAAAAATATGTTATTTTAGTAATTTTTTAATTAAGATATGAGATATAAAAAGAATTAATATATTAAAATATTTTTTTAATTTTTACAAAACGATGTACAAAAATAGAGAGAAAAATAAATCTTTAACTTTTTTAACATATGTTGTTGACTTTTTAATTTTTTTTAGTGACTTTTTAAATTTTAAACTAAAATATTGAGTTGCCAACGAGACTTAAGTACTACTACCCATTGAAAAGCATTTTGACTAACGGGAAATATTGTGTTATACATCTTCGAAAGGTGTTTGTGTGTACTATATACACTTTATAATTATAGAAAATATGAAATAATTTCATATTTTTTGAGTCATAACGAAAAAAATTTAAAAAAATCATAATCAAACACATAAAAGTCATAATCAAATATCTTAAAATTAATTATAACTAAAAAAATAATAACATAACTAAAAATACATATCATATATGAGTATGTATAATAAAATTCACCTTTAACTTTAAGCATTACAACAACTTTTTTGGTTATTATTGGAGGCTTGTACCATAAGCAAATGAACACCTTATCTATGATTGTTTATTATTATTTTTATTTCATTGTGCCAAAGTCCCCACCCAATTGTCCTCGTGCTTTTTTTGGATGTAACCCTCATTTTCATATAATAAACTTGTTTATGATGCAACCCCCCTTAAACACGCGTGATGTATTTTTTTTTATTTTTGTAGTTTATGTTATTTATTTTCATGATAGATATTACGTAATTTGTTTTTGTATAATTATGATAATTTGTAATTTATAAATAAATTTACACATTTTTTTATTCAAACATTTTTTAACAAAATTATTTTTTTTGTAACATTACTATAAAAATATGTAATATTATCACAAAATATATAATTTTATTTATAAATTATCATAATTCTATAAAATAAAATAAAATAAAATAAACAGATAATATTTACCATACATACGCATAACAAAATGTATATAATCCACCTTTTGAGGAGTGTACTATAGCATAATAGCATTACCCAGACTTTTCCTTTTTAGGTTTTGTAGAAAATGGAATCCTTCTTCAGTGTTAGATGGCTATGGAGAAAGATATTGTTTAGATGGATTGGATGTCCGTAATCATATAATTATAATATATTTATATTAAAAAATAGACAATTAATATTATTTTAAAAATAAACTGTCCATTTAAAAACTCGAGTTCAGCTTGTCAAATAGACAATTAATATTTGTTTTAAAACTCAAGTTCGAGCTTAGCTTGTCAAATATTTGAGAAACTTACTTAAGCTTGATTATTTAAGCTCGACTAATTTTTAATAAATAAACCTAAATATTAAAAAATTCGACTCGACTTGACTGGTTTCTTTGCAACCAGGCGTGCATGGGAAAGAAGTCAAGCACAAGTCAAGGGATGAGACTTTAAAAACTGGCCGTGGAATCGAAAGGAAGTATGTCTTTAGACAAAATGTATAATAATCCCAACATTTTGCTTGTAACAAAGATTGGGTACTTTAGTCATTCACAAACTTTTGAACCCCTTCAAAACCTCCTTGGTGCAATCTCTCAGTCTATATATATCTATTGGTGTAAGAAGGGAGAGAAGAAAGATGGAGAGAGAGGAGGAAAATCCAACTTCTCTGACAACACCACTGAATGAACATGATATCCATGATGATGATGATGATAATGATGATGATGAAGATGGAGGTTGCAGGGCAGTTGAGAGAGAGAGAAACAGAAAGGAGGAGATTGCGAAAGAAGTGAAGAAGCAGCTATGGCTTGCAGGGCCACTGGTATGTACGAGTGTGTTGCAGTTCAGTTTACAGTTGATATCATTGATGTATGTGGGTCATCTTGGAGAGTTGCCTCTCTCTGGTGCTTCCATGGCTACTTCTTTTGCTACTGTTACTGGTTTTAGCTTGTTGGTGAGTTGTGTTTCTCTTCATTTTCATCAGAAAAAAAATAGCAATCAAACAGAATTAATTATTGAGAATGACATGGCAATGATGTATATATATTGTAATTATTTTCTTTTCCATACAGTGATGACTTTTCTAATGTTTCACATATGAATTAAAATTTAAATTTTGATAAAATGCTTGAGTATTGTTTGGTAACATTTATAATTTACTGTTTTTGTTTATAGAAATATTAAACATGTTTATATTTATCTTTTGTAGTATATATTTTTTGATCAGCAAGAGAAACAATTTTATTGATAAACATACCAACATATTATATCAATAAATAGTACAACATTTCAATCCTAACTAGATTGGTAGCAAGACACCCACCCAATCATATGCTAGCACGCCATCAAAAGTAGGTGAAAGACCAACAACAAAGACACATCCGTAACCAAACAAAATACACAAGAAAACCACCCACAAGCCACCCAAATAAGCTGACATAGCAGCCCACATATAGGAGTCCAACCAAGCCCACAAAATACACCAGAATGTAAACCCAAGAGCCACCTAAATAAACAGACAAGGACAAAACAACAAGCAACAGACACAAGGACAAAACAAAACAGAGCACCACCAAGGCACCAAAACAGGGCATCAACAAGGCAATCCTCCAGAACAACCACCAACCAATCAAACAACCCAGGAGCAGAACCAGCAGACAGTGAGCTATAGCAAACTATACTCAAATCCCATCATTGCTGTGATACCCTTGTGAACTTCAACATGCAACCCTCCTACAAACACCTCGATATACCTGATTGGCAGCACAATAGATGATTTTAAGAAAACCCTCTACATTCCCCCATTTCAATGAATCCCAAAACAAAATGCGAAATTTGATTAAATCCAATAGCTCCTCCCTATTCAGTTGTGTAGTCTCAAAGATGCATTGATTTCTCAACCTCCAAATTGACCACAAAACAGCAAAAGGAATAATCTCCCATACTATTTTTCTTTTTTTCCTACATTTCCAACTCATCCACCATTCAAGCAAAATAGGCACTGAACCAGCGACGATAGCCCCCACCAGCGCAAAACTGCAGACCAGATCCTTCAAACTTTCTACCACCAGATTAAGACACGTTCCAAAGTTTCATTGTCAACACCACAAAATCTGCATTGTCCATCATTATTGTTGTCAAGAATCCCCAATCCAGTAACCCTATCCGAGGCCTTAACTCGACCTCTCCATGCCAACCATCCGAAGAACTTCACTGATGGTGGTGCTCCATTCCTCCAAATCAATTTTGGTACTTCCAGATTAGGACCCATCTCGGCTTCAATACAATTATACATTGATGCCACTGAATAAACACCACATTTATCAGCCTTCCATCCAATTGTATCATCCCCCCTCTGATTAATCCCCGTAGCACCCATTAAGAGGTTGTTTAGCGTAGTGACCTGTTCTTCCTCCCAAGCCATCAATGGTCTTCTAAACTCCACCTTCCATTCATATCTACCGCTCGCAGGGACCACAAAGGCTGCAACTCTCCCTTCCTTATTAGAACTGATCTGGTACAATCTTGGGAAGATATTTCGTAATACGGTTCCCTCCCTTAACCACTCATCACTCCAAAACTGCAACCTATTTCCTCTGCCAAGGCTGAATTTGATATTATCCAAGAAAATAGCAAAAGCTTCAGGCCATGTAACACATACCAATGAGATGTCTGACCAGGCTCTGGAAGCATTGCGAGATTGGACTGGTAACCAACATCTCTCATCAATTTTATGAATATTGCAAATAACATTTCTCCACAGACTATTTTTCTCCACTGCAAATCTCCACCACTATGTTTTAAAATTTTGGGTAAAAAATAAGTGAGAAGGAGTGGCTGAAAGAAGTTGCTGGCCGGAAGTGGTGGTTAAAAGGTGGAGATGGAGGTGATTGTTGATCAATGGAGTTGATTGTAGTCAATAGGAGGTGGTTGACGGAGGAGGTGAATAATATGGTGGCTAAAAGGGGTGGCTAGTGGCAGGAAGGGATGGGAGAGGGGAGAAGTGAATGAAATTTATTTTTTAAACAAGTCCAAACTAACTTCTTTTTTTTCTTTGTTAAAAGAATCTAATAAATTTTTTATAAACTGTTTATAATTTTTTGAAACAAAAATAGACACTAAATGAGTTTTTGTTTATAATTTTTAAAATTTTTATATATACAAACAAAAACAACTATAAACATAAATGAATCTTTAATGATTTATTCTATAAATTAATCTCCATTCACTTGGAGAGTAGTGTTCTTTCGAAATAAAATTAAATATGAAAGAAGAAAATGATAGAAAACACATATTTCAATAACCATAATTATATTTTAAACATTACAATAAATGATGGAGAAAAGAGAGGAAGTTTTGTGTTTTGCATTTACAAATTACAAATTACAATATCAATTATTATTATTTTCTTTTAAATTGTGTCTTCTCAACTACCAAACAGAGCACATATAACGAACACAATCTGATACTTTGTGTTTTTGGAAACAATTCTCAATTATAATCTAAAATTTCATTAGCCAAACAAAGCTACTTCATTAAACATGCTATGAAATTTCACTCTATCTCACCATTTTGTTCTTGAGTAGCTAGGAATGGCAAGTGCATTGGATACACTATGTGGCCAATCCTATGGAGCAGAGCAATACCATATGCTTGGAATCCATATGCAAAGAGCTATGCTTATTCTTTCACTAGTAAGCATACCTCTTGCAATCATTTGGGCAAACACTCACGCCATTCTTGTCGCCTTTGGTCAAGATCATGACATATCTGAAGAAGCTCAAATCTATGCACGATTCATGATCCCAAGCATATTTGCGTATGCGCTTCTTCAATGTCTTGTCAAGTTTTTGCAAACTCAAAACATTGTCTTCCCAATGATGATAAGCTCGGGGATTACTACTTTAATCCATCTACTTGTATGTTGGGCATTGGTTTTTAAGACTGATCTAGGTCTTCGTGGAGCGGCCTTGGCCAATTCCATCTCTTACTGGACAAATGTAGTGTTGTTAGCTCTTTATGTCAAGTTCTCTTCTTCTTGTGCAAAAACTTGGACTGGCTTGTCAAAAGAGGCCTTGCACGATATTCTCAATTTTCTCGGACTTGCAATTCCTTCGGCTGTCATGGTTTGGTAAGTTTATGATTGACTAAACTTTCTATATTCTCAATGTTTATGATCTTTACTTTTCAATGTGTACGGATTTTTAATGTGATTATTCATTATGCGTTATGGTTTTCTTTAAGCTTGGAAATGTGGTCGTTTGAAATGATTGTTCTAGCATCTGGTCTTCTTCCTGATCCTGAGCTACAAACCTCGGTGCTTTCTATCTGGTAAAACAGGCAGATTTTCTTCTTGGAATTTCTTTATAGTCGATTTCTTGAATTAACTTCCACTTTATCATCTACTACTAAAACAAAATTTGTGTATATACAGCCTTAATACAACTACAACAGTTTGGATGATCACCTATGGGCTCGGTAACGCAGTGAGGTCTGTTGAACTATTCTAAGACTACGCATATTTCAATTTCATTTATATGAACAAAACTTGGTTAAATTTCAAGGGTACTATAGTTTTGTACCAAAGAAGTGTAAATTTGTTGTTGCAATTGAAATATGACAGTGGTAATTCGGGAGATTCTATTCCACACCCTACTCTCTTTTTTTCTTCAATTGACACCATTACTCAGTTACACAATTTTGATTTTTTGATTTTTTTTTTTCCAATTCACATCCCTTAGTCTCCATAATACCCAGATCTTCAACATTCATGCCCTAACCCCAAAACTCATCAGCCATCACCACCTTCACTTTGGTGCTGGGATGGGGAGAGAGGGAAGGGCGGGTTGTGGTGATTTGGTGGTGACTGCTAAGGTTTGGCAGTGGTAAGGGTGCAATGCAGTGCGGTGGGTTTGGGAGGGAAGTTGTGCAACTTTTGTCCTCAATGGTAATTTACTAGGGATACAATCATAATTTCAAAAATTAAAAAATAAAATGATAGGAACTAAGAATAATGGTAGTGTACAAATAGAAGCTCACTGGTAATTCCCGCTATTTTCCTGATTTTATCTCACATATGTTGTGCTATGTCTATTCAGCACGCGGGTCTCAAATGAGTTGGGGGCAGGGCGCCCATACGCTGCTCGTTTGGCAGTGTGTGTCGTGTTAGTAATGGCGGTTACAGAGGCTGTTATAGTTGGAGCAGTCATGATATCGATCCGAAACATCTGGGGCTATGCTTACAGCGATGTAGTAGAAGTGGTCAGATATGTAGCAGCCATGATGCCCATCCTAGCAGCTTCCAATTTCTTGGATGCACTTCAGGGTGTTCTTTCAGGTTCTTCTCTGCATTTTTATCGATCTCTTCTTAAGCTGTTGTTCACACCCTAGGGAGATCAAATCTTAGAGAGAGTGTAAGTTTAGGAAGAGAGAGTGTCGAATTTAGGTTTTGCTCAAAGAAAGGGACTGAAAAAGTGATGTTTAAGACGCTGCTGTCCGCTGATATAAAACACTCTCGCTCGAGCGAAGGATTGGTCGCTCGAGCGACCAGACACAGAAAACTCTCGCTCGAGCCAAGAAGTTCTCGATCGAGCGAAGAAAAACCCAGACCGCTCGAGCCACGAAAAGCTCGCTCGAGCCAGAAACTACAACTCTCAGGTCCAGAACCAGGTGCAACACCACGCTCGCTCGAGCGACAAACTCCTCGCTCGAGCGAAGGACCAAAAATCTGGGCAGCAACACTAGGCTCCCAAGCACAACCAACCTGTACAAACCTGCCCAACACATCCCATAACCCAATATACAAAGTAAAGAGGATGCAAACTAGAAAATAAACAACTACCAACATTCACGGACACATGTCCGGATCACTGTACAACGAGGGTAAACCCGGGATCGCTATAGCACATCATATGTTTTAAAATTTTGGGTAAAAAATAAGTCAGAGGGAGTGGCTGAAAGAAGTTGCTGGCAGGAAGCGGTGGTTAAAAGGTGCCACCTATATTAATTAAGGCGGAGATGGAGGTGATTGTTGATCAATGGAGTTGATTGTAGTCAATAGGAGGTGGTTGACGGAGGAGGTCAATAATATGGTGGCTAAAAGGGGTGGCTAGTGGCAGGAAGGGATGGGAGAGGGGAGAAGTGAATGAAATTTATTTTTTAAACAAGTCCAAACTAACTTCTTTTTTTTCTTTGTTAAAAGAATCTAATAAATTTTTTGTAAACTGTTTATAATTTTTTGAAACAAAAATAGACACTAAATGAGTTTTTGTTTATAATTTTTTAAATTTTTATATATACAAACAAAAACAACTATAAACATAAATGAATCTTTAATGATTTATTCTATAAATTAATCTCCGTTCACTTGGAGAGTAGTGTTCTTTCCGAATAAAATTAAATATGAAAGAAGAAAATGATAGAAAACACATATTTCAATAACCATAAATATATTTTATACATTACAATAAATGATGGAGAAAAGAGAGGAAATTTTGTGTTTTACATTTACAAATTACAAATTACAAATTACAAATTACAATATCAATTATTATTATTATTTTTTAAATTGTGTCTTCTCAACTACCAAACAGAGCACATATAACGAACACAATCTGATACATTGTGTTTTTGGAAACAATTTTCAATTATAATCTAAAATTTCATTAGCCAAACAAAGCTACTTCATTAAACATACTATGAAATTTCACTCTATCTCACCATTTTGTTCTTGAGTAGCTAGGAATGGCAAGTGCATTGGATACACTATGTGGCCAATCCTATGGAGCAGAGCAATACCATATGCTTGGAATCCATATGCAAAGAGCTATGCTTATTCTTTCACTAGTAAGCATACCTCTTGCAATCATTTGGGCAAACACTCACGCCATTCTTGTCGCCTTTGGTCAAGATCATGACATATCTGAAGAAGCACAAATCTATGCACGATTCATGATCCCAAGCATATTTGCATATGCGCTTCTTCAATGTCTCGTCAAGTTTTTGCAAACTCAAAACATTGTCTTCCCAATGATGATAAGCTCGGGGATTACTACTTTAATCCATCTACTTGTATGTTGGGCATTGGTTTTTAAGACTTATCTAGGTCTTCGTGGAGCGGCCTTGGCCAATTCCATCTCTTACTGGACAAATGTAGTGTTGTTAGCTCTCTATGTCAAGTTCTCTTCTTCTTGTGCAAAAACTTGGACTGGCTTGTCAAAAGAGGCCTTGCACGATATTCTCAATTTTCTCAGACTTGCAATTCCTTCGGCTGTCATGGTTTGGTAAGTTTATGATTGACTAAACTTTCTATATTCTCAATGTTTATGATCTTTACTTTTCAATGTGTATGGATTTTTAATGTGATTATTCATTATGCGTTATGGTTTTCTTTAAGCTTGGAAATGTGGTCGTTTGAAATGATTGTTCTAGCATCTGGTCTTCTTCCTGATCCTGAGCTACAAACCTCGGTGCTTTCTATCTGGTAAAACAGGCAGATTTTCTTCTTGGAATTTCATTATAGTCGATTTCTTGAATTAACTTCCACTTTATCATCTACTACTAAAACAAAATTTGTGTATATACAGCCTTAATACAACTACAACAGTTTGGATGATCACCTATGGGCTCGGTAACGCAGTGAGGTCTGTTGAACTATTCTAAGACTACGCATATTTCAATTTCATTTATATGAACAAAACTTGGTTAAATTTCAAGGGTACTATAGTTTTGTACCAAAGAAGTGTAAATTTGTTGTTGCAATTGAAATATGACAGTGGTAATTCGGAAGATTCTATTCCACACCCTACTCTCTTTTTTTCTTCAATTGACACCATTACTCAGCTATACAATTTTGATTTTTTGATTTTTTTTTTTCCAATTCACATCCCTTAGTCTCCATAATACCCACATCTTCAACATTCATGCCCTAACCCCAAAACTCATCAGCCATCACCACCTTCACTTTGGTGCTGGGATGGGGAGAGAGGGAAGGGCGGGTTGTGGTGATTTGGTGGTGACTGCTAAGGTTTGGCAGTGGTAAGGGTGCAATGCAGTGCGGTGGGTTTGGGAGGGAAGTTGTGCAACTTTTGTCCTCAATGGTAATTTACTAGGGATACAATCATAATTTCAAAAATTAAAAAATAAAATGATAGGAACTAAGAATAATGGTAGTGTACAAATAGAAGCTCACTGGTAATTCCCGCTATTTTCCTGATTTTATCTCACATATGTTGTGCTATGTCTATTCAGCACGCGGGTCTCAAATGAGTTGGGGGCAGGGCGCCCATACGCTGCTCGTTTGGCAGTGTGTGTCGTGTTAGTAATGGCGGTTACAGAGGCTGTTATAGTTGGAGCAGTCATGATATCGATCCGAAACATCTGGGGCTATGCTTACAGTGATGTAGTAGAAGTGGCCAGATATGTAGCAGCCATGATGCCCATCCTAGCAGCTTCCAATTTCTTGGATGCACTTCAGGGTGTTCTTTCAGGTTCTTCTCTGCATTTTTATCGATCTCTTCTTAAGCTGTTGACGTGTACTTTCAGGAATAATTTAAACGATCCATTTGAAAATGGACTTATTCAACTCAAACTGAAAATTTCAGAAATAAAATTGACGAAATTGAAACATACGTAACTAGGGTGATATGGAATGTCTGCTTTACGGACCTTTAGACATAATTTTGTTTTCAAAGCTAATTTTGCTCTGTATTTGCTAACATTCAGGCACAGTAAGAGGATGTGGAAGGCAGAAGGCTGGTGCATTTGTGAATTTGGGATCATATTACATTGTGGGCATTCCTTCTGCTATAGTATTTGCTTTTGTTCTACGCATTGGCGGAAAGGTCTCTCTCTCTCTCTCTCTCTCTCTCTCTGTGTGTGTGTGTTTTCAGCTGCAAAAGTGTTTCCGTCTCATGTTGATTGCATGCAGGGCCTCTGGTTTGGGATTATATGTGGACTCATTGTGCAAGTTCTATCACTTTCTACCATTACACTAAGAACTAATTGGGAGCAACAAGTACACTCTCTCTCTCACTCTCTCTCTCTCTCTCTCAACATCTCTGTTAAATAATCTAAGTGTGCAATCTTTGTTCTTTCTTGTTTAGGCAAAGAAGGCAACGGAACGCGTATATGACTCTACAATCCCTGTGGATACAGTGTCATGAAACAGAAACTGAAAGCACTGTAACAAAGAAGCTTCCGAGCTGATTAAGGAGCGAATAAATGTGTATTATCAATTGTAGCCAATTTCGGACTTGCTAGTGAATCAGATCAACCTAGACATAGTTGTGTTTTTCAGTCTTTACTGATATAATAATTGGCTCTGTACATTGTTTTCGAGCAAAAAGGATTAAAGAACTTCACATTTATTAATTCCCTAATGCTGCCATGTATTAAAAACTTGATCCACAATCCAATAAGACAAATAACTAACTGTTAAGCTCGAAAGCATGATGTGAAAATGTTGAGCAAAATGAAGGAGAAAAACAAAAAGTTTCATGGAAGAGGTAGAAGAGTATATTTCAGAACAAAACAAAGGCACAAGTAAATTATGAAACATTGAATACAATGTCATGGAACAAATAATGTATAGAGTGGCAAACTTTGATACCATCAACCAACAAGTTATGAAAAACAAACATCTATCATGGTAAAGGTTGCCCTAAAACCGATTTACATACAAAATCAGATGTTGGGATTTTATTACACTGAAAAATCTTCAAAATCATCTTGCAGAAGTTAGTGTACACTTATCTCTCAGGATCACAAAAGAGGGTACTTTCTATTTATTCACCGAATTTTTGGGACTTTCTCTTCAATGCTGTGATATAATAATGAGCTATTTTCACTTACGACTCTGCATTCCCTAATAATTTCAAAGGAGATAAGCGTTATAGGATTCACACAAAAATTTACAAACTCTGCTTGGTCACTATTAAAAAAGCTACTTTTTAGCTATTTAAGTTTGTTTTTTGTTTTAAAAAAGCTACTAGTTTAGATGACAAGAAAAAAAAAAAATTCACATTTTTAACAAGACCCACCCTGTTTGGCAAATGCTAAAAAAGTCACATTTCTCCCAATTTTTTTTTGTTTTTAATGAAATTATTTTAGTTTTCAGGTCCTCCAAGTCTAGAAGGATCTAAAAAGAATTTTTTAAATTCCAATAACAAAAGCAACTTTTTTTAGTATTTGCCAAACGGATGAACTTTTTTAACAATTTTATCCTAAAAAAAATGCTTGAACATTTTTTAACAATTTTATCCTAAAAAAAAAAGTAAAAGAGAGAAAAAAATTACTAAAAAAGCAATTGTCAAACCGGCCCAAAAGGACGTCATAATAACCAGGAAGTTAGTTTAATTATTACAGAGCTCCATAACATACCTCATAAAGCAGTGATCCCTCACAATAATATCCAATCTATGAATAGGTGTATATATTAGATTATTCTTCGTCTTCTTCTTCGGGAAGTTGAAACTCAAGATCCAATTTCCTCTTTATGTGTGATCTGTCAGCACTGCAGGAGCAGGCAAAAGAGAGAAGAAAAAGAAGCTATATGAATCGCAAGCAAGATTACACACATGATACATTCTTGCAAATTTCAACTCGATTACAACACTCTCAATTTATGTCAACATGGCATCATGCACTTGCAAAATTACCCGTAGAGTAACAAAGTTTTTGCCTTTAAGTTCGTTGCGTAAAAAATGTGTTTACATATATTTATTTGTCCATGACATTGTGATTTTCCTGGAAGAAATTTTCTGATTGGTAACATTGCTAATTTTCTGTTTACAGAAATTAGGTAACATTAAAAAAAAAAAAAAAAATCAGGAAACATGTTTGGTAGACATAAAAATTTCAGCAACAAAAGAAAACAAAACAGAAAAAGAAGTTTGATAACTATAAAAATTGTATTTGCTTTTTTATTATTTTAACATTAAAAATAAAAAATAAATAAAAAACCTAGGAAGGGGTTGGGGGTGGCTATGCGTCATGGGAAAGGGGTGTGGGGAGGTGGTCAAGGGCAGGGAAGGGGTGGGAGTGGCCCTGGGTAGTGGGGAAGAGATAAGGGGTGGCGTACATGGAAGGGAAGGTGATGCTTATGAGTGGTGGGCTAAGAAGTATAAACACACAACCAAACATGTCGTGCAAGGGGTTTGTTCGACACGTATGACCTATTATTTTTTAAATAAATGTAACCCAAACATGCTTCAAACACTAAGAGTATCGGTATCGATAGTATCGATCGGTACGTAACGGGAATCGCGGTATCGGGTAACGTAACGGTATCGATCGCGGAGTATCGGTATCGATAGCATCGATCGGTACGTATCGGGAATCGGGTGTCGCGGTGGTGAAATTTTAAAAATCATTTCAAAGGTATTTCAACTTTTTCTTTCCCGTACCGGTCTGAACCGGTGAGTATCAGCCCGTCGCGGCTTGTGTAACGCTTACATAACGCTTACAGGCCGATACGTACCGGGACTCGGCCGATACTCCTGTGATTTTCAATCTCAGTGGTATATCGGCCTGTATCCGTCGCGGTACCCCATTTTTCCGATACGTATCGGCCGATACGTAACGTATCGGCCGATATTTAGAACTATGGTACACACATGTTTGTCACTTAAACAAACATGAAACACATTACAAATTTGAAATCTAAAGATAAAACAAACACAATATAAATTTATACTTATTAATTCCTTCTTCTTTAAGCTTTAGAAATTTGTGTTATGTTGTATTTATTATCTTTGAATGATACTCATTAGATGATATATAAGAAATATAGAAAACTACATATTTGGTGCATGCCCCATGTGTCATGCCCAATATTTTTTGAAAATTTGTGTGTTGGCATCTCTGTGTCATGTTGCGTGTCTATGCTTCTTCGGTGGCGGGAAAGAAGTGCCGGACTGTCACCAAATTATTGCCGCCACTTGTTGTTGTGCTTAAATGCTTTGGATGAAACAACAACTTCTTGATTTTGAACTTTACTATGATCACATTCCTATTAATTCGATAACACTAGTGCCATTAGTCTTTCAAAGAACCCCATACAACACTCATGCATTAAACACATTGAAATAAGACATCACTTTCTACGAGATCATATACTTAAAGGTAACAATGAACTTGAATTTGTGCCTACAAGCCAACAATTGGCTGATATCCTTATCAAGCCTCCCAATGAGGAATAATTCTGCTTTATACGAATTGAGTTTGGCATGTTAAATATTCCTATATGATGTTAAACAATGTGTTATTATGCTTCATTGTGTTATTTGCTATGAAAAACACTAGTTTTTGTCTTTTAGGACCCTTAATGTGATAACCCAGTTCCGTTTTATACTAATTGGTCCTTATTATGAATGTGATTATGTGTTTGATATGATTTTGTGTGCCATTATGTGAAAATATGTGGTTTTGAATTTCCATCTGTTCACCGTAGAAATATCTGTTTGATTATTTGCTTTGGGAATTAAATTGAAGGCCTTATCGGCCACAGAAATTGAAATTGATTGTGCCATTGTGACTAGCATAATTTTTAGAGCCTATGGTGAAATTTAATTGGAAATTGATTTGAATCAAATTAAATAGATTAAATTAATGAAATGGTGTCCAATTATTTTATACTAAAGAAATGTATTTGAGAGAAATGATATAAGTGGGCCACTATACACACAATTCACCTCTTTAGCTTCACTTTGGCTGTTGATAACTCTAAGAGAAGAGGGGGAGATGCGGCTAGAGAGAGAGAGAGGGAACAATTGAAGTTTTGGCTCAAGTTGTGAAGATTGAAAAGCCAACTCTAAATTTGATCATAATTTGGGAGGATTAAAGCCTCTAGGTAAGTGAATTCATCAATTTTAAATTGTAATTTTGTGAATTCAAGTTTGATTAATGGCCAAGAACATGAAATTAATTGAGTACGATGAAATTGAGTTGGTTTTGTTGAATGTGAGGTCAATGGACACATGCATGTAGGAAATTGCTATGAATTTCCATATTTGAGCATAAGTGTATAATCCATGTTGAATTTTTGGTTGAAATCCATGTATTTGATCACCTCTTCACCAATTAAGTTGAGAATAATGAGTATCTCCCACATGCATGAGCAAATCATGAAAGTGTGAGTTTTGAATGTTTGAAATTAGTGTGTTGGTGATGAGTTTGAGTCAATTTGGGACATACATGTGTTTGATTCATGAAATTGAGCTTCATTGGGTTGTAATTTGGGGTTTATACCTTGTTAGTACAAGTGTATTTGAAGTTTGAGCTATTGTATGCAAGAAATGTTGGATGAAATGTTAAGTTGAAGCTCAAGAACATAGCTGGAAAACCTAGAAATTTTGGTGTCCGCTCGAGCGGGGAAACTGCCGCTCTAGCGTGGAATACGGGCTCCCAGCATTTTTTTGCAGACATGACTTCCGCTCGAGCGGGGAGCCATGTAGAGAGGCCTTCCGTTCGAGCGCCAGAATGCGCGCTCGAGCGTAAATTTGACATAGCCAGGATTTTTGCAGGCCTCTTGGGTCCGCTCGAGCAGGGACCCTGTTTTCTGAAATTTTGTTTATGCGTTCTGTGTTTCGTTTCCTATCCTCTTTCACTTGTAAGCACTCTTGGGCATGTATTGAGCATTGTAAATGAGTTAAAGAGATAAGAATGAAGCCTAAAGAGGAATATGTGAATTAAGGAACGGATTGAATCGTTTGTGACCCATATGTGCTATGTGATGTGTAGGGTTAAGCTCTAGAGCAAACCAACCAACTGATCACTGTGAGTAATATCTTAACAAAGATATCTGAAATATGTTGTTGTCCAAATTACTTACTTCTATGTAAGTTTTATAAGTTCGTTGATTCGATTAGTGGACAATGTTGCTATGCCAAATGAATGGGCCAGAGGCCAGTTTGATCTGAATGATAGAGTGAATGGGCCAGAGGCCGTTTTGACAAGAATGAATGAATGGGCCAAAGGCCGTTTTGACATGAATGAATGGGCCAGAGGCCGTTTTGACATGAATAAATGGGCCAAAGGCCGTTTTGACACGAATGAATGAATCGGCCAAAGGCCGCTTCGATACGAATAAATGAATGGACCAAAGGCCAGTTGACATAAATGAAAATATGAATTGGGCCCAAGGCCGTTTGAAGTATGTTGTTCTACATATCGTTTGTATAACTTCTTTATTTGATATCATTCACTGGGCTATCGCTCACGCTCATTCATGTGTCTGTAGGTGAGCCAAAAGAAGTCCAGACCCAGCCCCAGTGATGTCTGTGTGGAACAACAAAGGTTTTGAAGAGTCAGCCCTTTCGTCTCACACACGAGACCCGTCTTCGCCTT